ACTCTTTTTCTCTTACTAGTAGTGCTAAATTCATTCACTAAAAACTTTCTATCTGGGTTTTGAATTTTGCTTAGACTTCAAGATACCCACGGGATGATGCTCTGTTATCTCGAATCTGAGTCTTCTTCTGCTTCGCGATGAAACTCTCAACTTCGAACCTGAACTCTTCGCTGCTCAAGTGATCCATCGATTTCCTCGGCGATTCTGTACTCGCGACCACCATTTCCCCGTAGATCGTTGTCTCTGATCTCCGTAGTTCTGGCCGAGTTTTGTTCCCGAAATTGGTAGACATCTCTGATCTGCTCCTCTGGTAGCCTCCCTTCTTCTTCGCCCCCATCACTGCCCCAACTGCACGCTTTTTCTCAGTAACTGTCACTGCACCAACTGTACTCAGAGCGTCCTGCTGCACTGGAAAAACCGCACGCTCTGATGGCTCATCCGTTACTGTCTCCACCACGGCTCGCTTTTTCAGAACCGCATTGTCCGCAATTATAATATGTTTATCCACCACCGGCTCCTCCACCAGCTCCTCCGTCGCATTTCCAGTGGCGCTCCGGTATGATCCGGCGTACTCGTCGTAGATGTTCGATGAGTTATTAGTCTTTCGGCAGGATAAAACGAAAATGACGAGTATAAGGAGGTTCACGAGCATAAAACAGAACAGAGACCGGTTCAGAATGAGGACGAATCCTCGAACAAGGCCTCCAGCGTTCTTGAGAGCCTGAGGGATACTCTTGGACAACCAGGAAAGCAAGAAAAAAGCCAGGAGAACCTCGCACAAGAGGACAACCAGCTTTTTCAAGGTTTGCCTCTGGTTGAATCTGCGGATAGCTTCGACTTTCTCAGCCTTGACGTTGTCAAAATCCAAGAAATCCATGGCCGGGAAACGAAATTCAGACTGACGGAACACGGTAAATGAAGGTTGTGTTACGAGTATGTGAAGCAAAACGGAGAGGTATTGTTTGGAAAGGAGCTAGGAAAGAAGAATTGAAATCGGCGGAGAAAAGGGATGAAGATTTTCCCGAGAAAGTGAAGGAAAATAGAGATGGAAGTGGGAGGAGGTAAAGCTTGGTGTGCCTTTGAAATGGAGATTTGGGGCGTTTGGAAAAGGGAAAGAAAAAGAGGGAAATGACGCCAATGCTGCGAAGAGTTGGAGCCTTGATGGCTTTTTATATAGAATCTGCACCTTCCTTTTGGTTTTATTTTGCGTTTTAAATTTAAAAAGAAAATTCACCCAAAAATAAAATAAATATTCAATTAAAAAAATTTATTGGATCATCAGTGCAGGGGAGGGAACCTGACCTGACCTGACCGAACAGTGCGAGTGCGAGAGGGAAGACGCACGCGTGGCTCAATAGGGGCACGGACTGCATTCAGACAAGAAACGGTCCCAGCCGGCGTGGCACTGACACCTAGAGATTCGTTAATTTTATTTTTTTTGTTTTATTCGGCGAAAAATCTGCTAATAACATATTTTTGGGTAGTTGGTCTTGGTCTATATATTTCATTTGATTTGATATTTAAATATAAAATTTTTAATTTTTAATTTTTAATTATTAAATCATTTATTAAGGTTAATTTATCAATATGTTATATATTCTCTAAAATGAATATAAAATATTGAGTTTACAATTAAGAACAACTTGCTTCTTTGTCTTAAATTAGAAATTTAGTGATATGAATAATATTGTAATGTTTTCTAATCCCTAAATTTTTTTTATTCTTATTGTAAGTTTTATTGTAAGTCACATAAAGTAAGATAATTTTTTAATTAATTAATTCCTACCCACCCCATTTGCATTCCCTCATCTCTAATATAAAATTCTTTATTTGAACCAGAATAGATATTACCACTAAATAA